GGGTTTACCGTCCCCCAGGAGGTTACCCCTCGGGGGGTACGTACCCGCAATCTCGAAGATGCACGTTTCATCTTCATTTGCTACGCTCTTATCGCCGAGTTGCATCTCTTCGAAAAGGTAAAGTACACTCTTCTCCCACGCATTTCCCTCGAAAATTTATATTCCCCCTCGAAAAAAAAATAATTTTATTCCTTAAACATTTATTAAAAAAAACTGGAAAAATTAAAAATTGGATTTTTTTGCATTTTTATATTCTCCTCTCTTTTTATTTTCTAATTTCATTTCTTTATTCAATAAATTCAATAACTAATGGAAATTATACTAATTAGTATTTTTCTAATTAGTAGAATTAAATACTAATTTGGTATTTTCGTAAATAACGAAATTAATACTAATTAAATTTTATTTAATTTTAATCGCGATAAATATCATAATAAATGAAATTTGAAAAAAAGAAAATATTCTGAATTTATACAATTTGAAGGGTAGAAAAAAAAATAAAATGTATATTACTTTTGAAAATGGGGAAAATTTATATTTCTGAGTATTTCATGAAGGAAAAATTCTTTACGTAGGAAATGGCTATATATATTTTTCACTTCTAGCTTGGTTTTTATTGAGTGCGCGAAATATTTCATTATATGTAAAAATTTCTCATGTACGTGGGTATTCATTGTTGGTGATTTATATGGATTTCCAAGTTCAATATCTCTCTTCTTCTTTTACTTGGCGGCAAAAGTAACTCTTTTCAATCTCTTACAACTTGACAGTCGTTATTCACTTTTCTAAATGCGAACGTTGTAAATTTGAAGAAAAATTTTGAATTATTTTCCCCGAGAGAGAAACAATTTATTTTTTTATTAACAAATAAAAAATCTTATATTATTAAATTAATTAAATTAATGATTCAAATTATTTAATAAATTTACAAAAATTATTTGTATTCTTTTCTTCTTTAATAAAAATATTTCTAATTATTTCAATTATTCTATTAAATACGGTCCATTTTCAATGTAATTAAAAATCACTAGCTCTTTATAATGAAAACTTCTTTTCAGAATTCAGAATTTAATTAAAATTTTCTTGATTAATTAAATTCGATTAAGAAATTTTTTTGCAGAAAACTTGAGTGTTTATTTTTTACCTCGTTGGGGATTTTTTTTCCATTTGTTATTTTTTACGTAATATCTCGATAGATATTTCTGAGGTCATTCGTTCTTGGAAAATAAAAAAAAAAAGAATAACAACTCTGAAAGCTTGGACAATAAGTCTTGGGAGGTTGATTAAGTTACCAGTGCGCCATTAAAGTCACCATTAAAACTCGGTATAAATATTTGGTAAAGCTGATAAAATTCATTTTTACAGCAAAAATAAATTCCCTTCTATTAACCACTAATTGACAAATATTTTCTTTTTTGCAAATAGACACTTCGAATTTTTTTTTTATTACACAAAAATTTAATAGGTGGAAAAATTATTTAAAATTTCACTCAATATTTTTTTTATTTTTTAATTTCTCAATTTTTTAATATATTAATTTACAAATTTATTAATTTTCTATTTGCACTTAATAAAATTCAGAATATAGATAACAAAAAGTGAAAAATAAATTATTTAAATTTTCCATTAATTTTTCCTACGAACTGAAAATTTAGAATAAATGAAAAATAAGAAGCGTGAAAATTTATTTAAACAGGAAATTTAATTTTCTAATTTAAAATTTTTTTCACCGAAAGAAAAACATTAATTTTATTATTTAAACGATTTTGTAATGGAAAAAAAAATAAACGCAATTGTTTTTGATAGATTTTGGGACATTTTGATAACCAAATCGGAGTCGGTACGTTATTTTTGATCACGTATTTTTCACGAAGCCAGCCGTCACCTCTCTTGACAGTTGGGGCAGAAATACCGGCAAATATCATACTATAACGGACCATCCATCCGAAAACCAGATGCGTCGAGCTGTGACGTCGAATGAATCCTCACCCTTCGCAATAGAAAAAAACAAAAAAAAAAAAGAAAAAAAACCCTCTCGAATTTATAAAAAGAAAGAATAAATGCACAAAAGGTCAAGACTGAAGTTGACGTCTAGCGTCGAATTATTCATTTGAAAAGATAAATTTATCCAAATCTAAAAGAAAAAATAACGATTTGTTAATTTTCCAAATTTGGAATTTTTCCCCCTTTCATTATTTTTTTATACTTTTTAAGAATTTATTTTGCTAAAAAATTGTCGAAAATATTAAAGTTTATTCTTTTTGAAAAGATTAAAATTGTAAATTCTGTTTTGTATTTTTTTTCGTATTTTTTTTGTTTTTTTTTTTTTTTTTGAAAAGTTAAAGAGCCATTTGTAAATAAATGACAATTGTTCAATCCAATGTATGAGGAGGGAATAACATAAATCATTTCCGTTCACTAACATTCAGCAATATTTGTGTCGACAAAATGACGAAATTGTTGGAACACGCGCTTCCCATAAAGTTAGCCATTTCCACTAAAGGGACACAATCACCGGTTCAATTTTACCTAGAATTGCTATTTTGTTCTATGCGCGCGTACTTGTTTTGATATTGGGATTGATCGAAAATTTAACAGTAAATCGTTAAGTTTTTTATGACTCACGAATCCCCCAGTGATTATTATTATTATTTACATTAGAAAAGCATCAATTTTCGTTTAGAGGTATTTAATTTATAGTTTCATTTTACAACTCTAGATTAATCGTTTTTATTACGTTATATTCTCAAATGATATATAGAATATGTACATATATATATAAAAGATTCTACGCGTAACATTTATTGCAAAACTGATATAGCGAATGGATTCTCTCTACTTTATGTGTGAGGTGTATTATAAGAAGAGATTTTTTTATGGACGAAAATTTGTTTATCGAGAAACTGTAATTAAAAAATGAAACAAATAATTTTCAAGTTATTTTTATATTAAAAAAATACAAACTGATTTTTCAATTATTTTGTGTATTTTTAATTTCAGTTTCTAATTTGATAAATAAAACTTTGTATTATTTTAGTAGCTATATTTTAACTTTCTGGTAAATAACTATTTTGGATTTTTTATAGTTACCTTATAAATAAATAGTTTCTGTATATTTCGAATTATTTAAACACTAAAAAAATATTTCAGTTTGTAAATAAATATTTTAGTACCTATAATTAAATTTTTGCAACAAAATATTTTAGTAAATTAATATTCTACTAATTAAATTTTAGTAATAAAATATTTCAGTGATAGAAAATATTAACAAATTAATATTTTAGTAATAAAATACTTTTGTGAAGAAATATTTTACTAATTTTATTAATTCTAGTAATTAAATTTTGTAATACAATTTTTTAGTAACGAAAAATGTTAGCTAATTAATATTTTAGTAATTTAATGTTTTTGTGAAAGAATTTTTTAGTAATTAAATTTTTGTAACAAAATATTTTAGTAAATTCATATTTTAGTAATTAAATTTTTCAAAATAAACATTTTAGTAAATTAATATTCTACTATTTAAATTTGAGTAATAAAATATTTTAGTGATTGAAAATTTTAGCAAATTTATACCTATTATTTAGTAATTGAATATTTTTGCAAAAAAATATATTTGTAATTAAATTTTAAACTAAATATTTCAGTAAATTAATATTTTACTAACTAATTTTTAGAAAATTAAATATTTTACTGGTGGAAAATTTCAGCAAATATAATAAATAAATTACAAAAATTAATATTTTCGTAATTAAATACTTTTGTGAAGAAATATTTTACTAATTTTACTAATTCTAGTAATTAAATTTTGTAATACAATTTTTTAGTATAACGAAAAATGTTAGCAAATTAATATTTTAGTAATTTAATATTTTTGTGAAAGAATTTATTAGTAATTAAATTTTTGTAACTAAATATTTTAGTAAATTATTAATATTCTACTAATTAAATTTTAGTGATGGAAAATTTTAGGAAATTTATATTTTAGTAATTAAATTTTTCAAACTAAATATTTTAGTAAATTAATATTCTACAAATTAAATTTTATTAATAAAATATTTTAGTGATTGGAAATTTTAGAAAAGGAATATTTTAGTAATTAAATTTTTAACTAAATATTTCAGTAAATTAATATTTTACAAACTAATTTTTAGAAAACTAAATAGTTTACTGGTGGAAAATGTAAGCAAATTAATATTTTGGTAATTTTTTAACTTAAATATTTTAGTAAATTAATATTCTACAAATTAAATTTTAGTAATAAAATATTTTAGTGGTTGGAAATTTTAGAAAAGGAATATTTTAGTAATTAAATTTTTAACTAAATATTTCAGTAAATTAATATTTTACAAACTAATTTTTAGAAAATTAAATATTTTACTGGTAGAAAATGTTAGCAAATAAATACTTTTGTGAAGAAACATTTTACTAACTTTACTAATTCTAGTAATTAAATTTTATTAATTTAATGTTTTTGTGAATGAATTTTTTAGTAATTACATTTTTGTAACTAAATATTTTAGTAAATTAATATTCTACTAATTAAGTTTTTGTAACTAAATATTTTAGTAATAAAATATTTTAGTGATGAAACATTTTAGCAAATTCATATTTTAGTAATTCAATGTTTCAAACTAAATATTTTATTTCTATAGTAATAAAATATTTCAGTGACAGAAAATATTATCAAATTAATAGTTTAGTAATTAAATACTTTTGTGAAAAAATATATTACTAATTTTACAAATGCTAGTAATTAAATTTTAGTAATTAAATATTTTAGTAACGGAAAATGGTGACAAATTAATATTTCGAGAATTAAATTTTAGTTTAGTAAATAAATATTATTCTGTATAAAAGTAGAATTAATTTACAATAAATGGAATTCGAATGCGGTGGCAAATAGAAGGAAAAATTTATATTTATTGCTAAAATTGAAATTGTGAATTGAACCGAAGGAATATTGTGCTCATAGGTGAATTCACCCTTGTGTGTTGCAGGATCTTCAGTCCGAAATCGAGACCCATCGGGATGTTTATGCTTCGTTGAACGGGACAGGAAGGAAACTTCTCAGTTCTTTGGCGAGTCAAGATGACGCCGTTATGCTCCAACGACGATTGGATGAAATGAATCAAAGATGGCATCATCTCAAGGCAAAAAGCATGGCTATCAGGTATGTGTGAATAATGACAATTTTAATTGAACAATCTCCATTCGAATAATTCCTTCGAATTAAAAAATTCAAAAAATTTTAAAAGTACAAATGGATGGGAAAGATAATTCTATTTTACAACTAGAATTTATTCATTTCGAAAAAATTTTTAAATTCGTAATTGTAAAAACTAAAAAGTATAATAATAAAAAGTAATGTTAAGTAGTAGAGGTCAGGTTCGGTCAGACATTCCAAAAAATAATAATTTTTGTATTAGTAGTCAAAGACAGTTCGAGTAAGACAAACACTTTTACGAAAGTACCTTGTTTGCCAGTAGTAAAATTATTTCACAGTCAGACAGAATGTTTATAAAAAGATTAATTTTTTCACAAGTAGTAAAAACCATTTTCAGTCAGACTTTTAGAAGTACAATTTTTCAGTAGTATAAGTCCATTAACAGTCAGACTGGATTTTAACAAATTTCAGAAATTATTTTACTAACTTTATATTTTTTTATAGTTTTTTTTTTTAAATTGACATTTAATTTTTAATATTCCATCTCAATTTTCTCAGTAAAAAAAAAAAATAAATCCAAAACGTTCGTCAAATTAAGCGGCAAAAATAATATCAATTCGAATCAGTACATAGATATCGTGCCAAAAGCGCGATTCGCAATGGAAGGGGAATTGAGATAAATTATTGGAATCAGAATTCCAAGCCAGTGTTTGTAGTTAATTGCAAATTGGCTTGAACGCAACTGGCAGATAAAAGACGGTAGTCGATAATAAATATGGCTACCTGCAGATTTCCACTTACACTATTTTAGTTCTCCATTCGAATTTCAAGCCTCAGTCACCACACCAGTAATCAAGCACTAAACTTCTGGCACAGCCTTGGCTAATTAATGGAGACTGATTGCTCAACTCCATTCACAATAGTCCATTGCTGACTGTGTCCTATCGATGTCATTTCAAGTATAATTCTTTGAAAAAAAAATTTCTCACAAAAAAAAAAAAAAATGCTAGAGAGAAACATTTTTTTAACTCCACCGCAATGTAATAGATGAAACTCATTAAATTTATAAAATTTATAAAATTTATTAAATTCAACCAACTTATTAAAAATTAAAAGAAAACATTTTTACACTGAGAAATAACAAAATTTGTCAATTATTATTTATTAATTAATACAAAGTTTTCAAATTTCGTTGAATACATTTGGTTATTTTTTTTAGTATATAAATTAAAAGCACTTATCTATTAAAATCTACTATTTGCAAAAGAAATTCAATTATTAAAAAAAAAATTGATAAAATTCATCCAAAATTCAATTATTTTCATAAATATTAAAATTTCCACAAGAATTCATTAAATTTAAAATAAAATTATCAAAAAAATTTCGAAAAAATCAACTATTTAACAAAATTTTTATACAATTCTTCACAATAATTCAATTACTTTCCCTTTTTCAAGGAAATTCAATTTTAAAAAAAAATTTTTTGATTTAATTTCTGAGCAAGAATTTAATTATTTTCATAAATAATAAAACTCATTGAAAAATTTCAATTATTTTAAATACTATTTTACAGGAAATGCTAGAGAAATGTAATTATTCTTAATAATTTAATTTCAATTACACGAAAAAATCAATTATTTAAAATTCTTTGGAAGAATTCAATTATTTTACAAAAATATTAGAATTTTTCACAGAAATTCAATTATTCTTTTGAATTTGAATAAAATTTTCTCAAGAATTCAATTATTTACATAAATAATTCTTCGAATGAATTCAATTATTTTCAGGCAATTTAATAAAATTCTTTGCAAAATTCAATTATTTACTATAATGTTTTATAATATTTATTATATTTCGAAAAAATTAATTATTTAAAACAATGTTTATAAAATTCTTATGAAGAATTTAATTATTTTCTAAAATAACAAATTTTTTACAAAAATTAAAATCTTTTTAAACATTTTAATAAAATTTTTAACAATAATTTAATTATTTTCATAAATAATAAAATTCTTCTCAAGAATTCAATTATTTCTGAAAATTGTAATAAAATTCTTAGAAATTATTCAATTATAATACAATTTTACATGAATTGCTCGAGAAACGTAATTATTCTTAAAAATTTAATTTCAATTACACGAAAAAATCAATTATTTAAAAAAAAGTTTTTTTAAATTAATTCGAAGAATTCAATTATTTAAAAAAATATTAGAATTTTTCATAGCAATTCAATTATTTTCAAATATTTTAATAAAATTGTTCGAAAGAAATCAATTATTTCAAATACAATTTTAATTAAATTTTTTTGAAATAATTCAATTATTCTTTTATATTTTAATAAAATTCTTCCCAAGATTTCAATTATTTAAAAAAAAATTGATAAAATTCATCCAAAATTTAAATATTCTCATAAATAATAAAATTTCTATAGGAATTCAATTAATTTGGAATAGAATTTTCAAAAAATGTTTTTCAATATAAAAAAATTCAATTATTTACATAAATAATTCTTTGTAAAAATTCAATTATGTCGATAAATAACAAAATTATTCTCGAAAATTCAATTATTTTAAGGCATTTTAATAAAATTCTTTCCAAAATTCAATTATTTTTAAAAGTAATAAATTTCTTCTTGAAAATTCAATTATTTAAAAAAATTCTAATAAAATCGTTCGCAAGAATTCAATTATTTTCGAAAAAAAATTGACTAAAATGCCATACAGCAATTGAATTATTCTGAAAAATTTTAATGGAATTCTTTGTAATATTTAAATTATTTTTAAAAACTTTTCGCAATTCAATGATTTTCAATATCAACTATTTTCATAAAATATCCAAACAGATTTCAATTATTTAAAAAATTATTTGCAGAATTTTTGATAAGAATTCAATTCTTTTCTTCATGAATAATAAAAATTTCTCAGGAATTCAATTATTGAAATTAGAATTTTCATTTGAATTAGTCGAAAGAAATCAATTATTTTAATATTTTTATAAAATTCTTCGCAAGAATTAAATCATTTTTATAAATATTTAAATTCTTTCATATGGATAATAAAATTCGTTGGAGGAATTCAATTTATTAACGGGATAAGAAAGAAGGAAATATTTTTGATGAAAATTAGGAAAAAATCAGGATAATAAAATATAGAATGAAATTTTTGTCAGTTTTGTGAAGTGTATAAAACGAGTTTTTTTGGTCGTCAAGTTTAATTTTTAGATAGCTACTTTTTTTACTACTTTTTTAGTTTTTAAGCTACTATTTTCCAATTTTTTAAAAATTAATTATCGATTACAAAGTCTGCAATTTGATATCCTTAGAAAAAATGTGAAATTGCTTTTAAAAAACTATTTCTCTTAAATAATTTACAATTTTAAAAGAAAAAAAAATATTTTCTAAAAACGTTATTTAATGCACTAATGGGAAATTTAAAAAAATGTCTTATTCAGCTGCCTCCTTTTTCTGACATCTTTACAATGGTTCGCCTACACATGTGTGTTTATCGATTTCCATTATATTATGTAAAATAGAAATGGGTGCAAACGATACTGGAAAAAGGTGAATTTAAATTTATAAGAAAAAAAGATTAATGATTGGCGGTAAATAGTTGAGAGGTGAAATTTGTGAAATTTAACTAATAATAATTACAGAGGAACAGAGAGTGAGTGAGTGAGAGAGATGGGAAAATTACAGACATTATGTCACTATTCACATATATGGTTCATAAATGTATTGTTATCAAAGACCGAAGGTATGTCATGCGAGGAATTTCTGTGACCGTAGTTAACCTACACCGAACATAAGCTGAGGTCTCGTGAACCCAACTGCATGATTGAAATTATTCGCATAACAAAAGAGTTTACACTTTTGCGAATTAATAAAAAAAAAAGATTAAAAGAAAAACTATTTAACGTATAATAGTGGATCAAAGAAAATGCTTTGAATTTCATAAGGATTATTTTTTCTTTTTGATATTTTTTGTGTCTGACTGAAAAATTACTTTTACTACTTCGAGAAGAATTAACGTCAATCTTTCTAAAATTGACTTGTTTATATATTGAATTTTACGAAATTTCAATTATTCGTAAATTCTATAATTCAATATATATTAAAAAATAGAAACTTAAAATAATATTTTTAAAAATCCAATTAAACTTTTAAAAAAAAAATTCAATTCAATTATTTCTAAAAATTCACGCTATTTTACTTTTAATACTCAATTATTATAAAAAATTTTAACTAAAATTCATTTTTATGAAATGAAAATCAATTTTTATTAGAAAATTCTAATTCAATTATTTAAATACAAAAATAAATAATTTATTGAATAATTAAATGTTTCTTAAAATTCAATTCTTATAAAGAATTTTATCAACAAATTTTTAAATAATTCAATTCTTTCGACGTATTTTAATAAAATTTTTTTAAATAATTACATTTTTCGAGAAATTCGATTAAAATTGTATTATTAAAAATAATTGAAATTCTACGATAAGTTTTATTATTTGTGAAAATAATTGAAACCGTAAGAAGAATTTTATTGTTTTTGAAAAATATTTAAATTTTGCGAACAGTATTATTACTCTTGAAAATAATTGAATTTCTAAAAAAAATTTGTAATTTTTCCAAAATTACATTTTTTTCGTGTTTTTAACTAAAATTCTTCTATAAATGCATTATTCTTAATAATTTTTGAAAAAGGTCTTTAAAAATTTTCAAATTCATTTGTTTACAATTCAATTTTACAAAATTTCAATTATTCGTAAATTCTTCAATTAAATATATATTAGAAAATACAAACTTAAAATAAATATAAAAAAACTTCAATTAAACTTTTTCAAAAAAATTAATTCCACCGAATTATTAGTTAAAAATATAAAAAATTTAGATTTTCAAAGATTTTAGTTTGAAACCGTTTCAAAATTCAATTATTTCTAAAAATTCACGCTCTAATACTTTTAATATTCAATTATAACCTAAAATTTACACCGATATCCATTTTTAA